AAAGAGTGTGAAAACTCTAATGCCTAAATCTAGAAAGTAAAACTAAAAAACAGTCACAATAAATACTAGTCTTCATTTTTCTTGGGGGCTTTTCTGAGAATCCACTGTTCAGGATGAAGTCAGTAGGAAGGTAAGTTTAAACAAACAAAAAAACCTCAAACCAAACCTAAAAACCCCTGTGGCAATGCTGAACAGAAAAAGAAGAAATCCTCCTTTTTAAGAGTGTGTAGTTTTCTACTTTCTGGCCTAAAGGAAGACCTGACTTTTAAGGTAAATCATTGATGAGAAATAGACTCAACTTACAAGAAGCTGCTTCCTGGGCAGCATCATCCACCTGTGACAGCTCAGAGAAGCCAGTGTCCCCTTCAGCTTCTTGTACTGATGCAAAAGATGTCTGAAAGGCATCCAGCTTCTCCTTCAGTGACCTGACATTTTCATGTCTGAAAGGACTAACCTGCTAAAACAAAATTAACCTCATGAGACATTTTTCCCCTGAGATTGCATGTGCTTTGTTACCTTGTGTATGTACTTTAGCATTAAAGAAACTCAGAAAGAAGCAAATCTTGTCTTTAACTGGGCTGCAAATTCAGTTGTATCATAAAAACATGCAAAAAAAAGGAACTGTATCAAGAAATGTTACATTTTACTGCCTTTCATAATCTGTCCCTCTAGAGCACATCCAGGATTTGTTTTCTGACTGTCTTTGCTAGTTTCAGTTAAGAATGAGTCTGATTATAAACCAAGTCACTTATGCCAGCATCTACTTCACTTTGAACTCTCAAAAATCAAGCATGGCAAATGCAGGAAAGTAGAGTTTATGGACAACAAAAGGTAAAATATATGAGCAAGCCCAACGTGGAGAAAAGACTCCAGAACCTACACAAACAAAACCTCTAAGATCCCAGGGAAGTCAACAAAATTCAGGCCGTGGTTGTTCCTTCTACTGGCTTCTTCCTGACACTTGCTTTATATTTCAGCCAGCACATGTTGATTCCTGGGGAGGACTAAACTGACATGAGATATTTGGGAAGGACTCTCACCAGCCTAACAGCTTCTCTTTGCCTGTTGCTTCTCTGCTGGGCCAGGTACCTGATAAGGGTGTTGTTTTCTGGGGAGCCCCGAACTCCAATTGCTGATCTTCGTCTGTACTTCAGTGAAGTTGGAGACTTCCCTGAAATGAGGACAAGAGGAGAAGAAAAAAACAAACAAACAAAAAGAAAAACATAGTTTTTGTAAGAATAATTAAAGCTTTAAAATTATATTTTTTTTCTTTTAAGGTGGTTTATGCTATTTATGAAAACATCCAAAGTAAGCTGCTTAGCTCAAGAAACCCTTCTGAGCAAAACTTCCTAAAAGCAAGTTATTATTTAACTAAACTATATGCCAAATGAGGAGCTGTCTTTCTTTTACTTAGTCAATTGTTAATTAAGGAATCATCTACCAATACTTGCAGAATTTCTAACTCCCTTGTGAAATTCACAGATACCATGTTACCAACTGGACAGAAAAGAAGACAAACAGGGAATTAAAGCATCATCCTATCCCAGTTCTATCCTTGGGCATATTCCAACTCAGCCAGACAACCTGACCAAAATTGAAGCTTTTGAGAAGAGGATGGACCAGATGATCTCCAGATGCCTCTCTGAGAAGGACAACACTCCTGAGTCACTCCAGCCTTACCAGATCGTTTAGTAAAACTTTTCTGAGTAATCCCCAATTCAGCAATTGTTGCAGCTGCAAAATCAACAGGTGTTTTCCTCTGCTCCTCTGATATTCCACAATCAGATTTTTCTTCTGCTTTGTCCCTTGTAGGTGTCAAGTAGCATTCATCCCCCCAAGAAACAGGTCTACTTCTTGGAACATTTTCCTTGCTGTTCAAAGGCAAAGGATGTTCACCAGCCACATCACCTTTCAGCATCTCAAAAGAGCACTCAGAAACCTGACAGTTATCAACATCCTCCTTGCTGGGCTGTGATTCCTTCCCCAGGACTCTGGTGTGCTTCAGGTTGCATTTTTGCAACTGCTCCTGGTTTTCATCACTCAAATTCTCCTTCTCGGATGCCTTGATGACTTTTGATTTAATTACTTTGCAAATTTTCTGGTCTTTTGGCAGATCAGGCAAAGAGGCTTCTTCCCTCTCTTCAGGGTATCTGTTCTCATTTTCTTTAACTTCCAGGGGAGAATTTATACTCTTGTGCATTGTTAGAGATTGATTTTAAGAAACATTCAGTTGGCCTTTGCTCTCCTGTAATCACAGACACCTATCAAAAAGGAAAAGATATTTGAATAGGTATTTGGCAAGAGGAAGAATTTTCTGCCATTCTCAAACTTCTATCAAATCTGGGGATTTCCTGGAACAAGGTGGAAAGGGAAAGTCATCTCTCCAGAAAGTGACATAAAATGTCTAGCACTATGAAGAAAAATGCACAGCAACATAAAAGTTGCACGAGTAAGGAAACACAAGGCTACTATTTCAACTTTTATCAACTTTATGGTAGCATAAAGTATGTTAAACACAAACACACTGTGATCATTTGGCTTAAGTGTTACAAGTATTAGCAGTTTGACACTAAATGGAAAAATTAAGATGCTAACATTGTTTGCATTTAGTTTCTTGCATTTTCATAGAATGGTTTGGGTTGGAAGGGACCTGAAAGCTCATCCAGATCCAACCCCCTGCATGGGCAGGGACACCTCCCACCAGCCCAGGCTGCTCCAAGCCCCATCCAACCTGCCCTTCAACCCCCCCAGGGATGGGGCAGCCACAGCTTCCCTGGGCAACCTGGGCCAGGCTCTCACCCCCCTCACACCAAAGAATTCCCTCCTCACCTCCAACCTCCAGCTCCCTCTCCCAGTTTTCATCCATCCCCCTCATCCCATCCCTCCCTGCCCTTGTCCCAAGTCCCTCCCCAGCTTTCCTGGTGCAAGGAGCAGAGCCCAACACCCTCTCAGTGGGGAGAAAATCAGGGCTGGAAGAATCAGAACTGTCAAATCCCAGACTGGTTGGGGTTGGAAAGGACCTTTAAGACCACCCAGATCCAACCCCCTGCATGGGCAAGGACACCTCCCACCAGCCCAGGCTGCTCCAAGCCCGTCCCGGGGCACCCCTGACCCCCCTGCACCACCCCAAACGTCCCTCACTGACCCCCAGACACCCTCCCAGCCCCTCTCCCAGGCCCCTCACTCACCTCAGGCCTCGTCCCCTCAGCCCCGACCCGCGCCCG